AGTACAAAATTTCGCCGGAATAGCTCATTGAAATATCGATATTTTTCAATTTGTTATCAGCAACGTTACGCGATAAAATATTATTTTTCCCATAGATTGGGTTAACATCTGTTCTCTCCCATAGTAGAATACTATTATCTTTTTACTAGGATTTTTTGTGCCAAAAATTCTTTCGATTTGCTAGGGATTTCTTTCACAATTCTAATTATCCGACTATACATCTTCGATAGTGATGCCGTTTTCATTATGATATGCGTCATTTCAATTCCTTTTGGGCAATACAATTCAGAATTGTCCGGGAAATTTATATTGATTGAGAAATGTACATTTCTACTTAGAAAACTTGTTGCTATGCATATTTATACAGGTTTCCATTCATCATTCTTTCATTGAAAATCAGCATCAACAGAGAAAGGGGAAAAGAATTGTGGACGTGAATGTACAGAGTATGCGCGAAAGAAGTTTTCCATTCGTTAACACAACACTCATCTATACACAATACGAATATCTATGTCAAATTACAGCAATGTGTGAAGGGAAGAAATCGAATAAAATACAGTGGATGTTGCACATATACTAAAGCTTTTCCAACATTTTAAGGACATATACATACACACAAACTTAAACCGATTTGAAATGAATGAAGGGCAAACCATGAGAAATATTGCGCATTTACGTTTTGGCACAAATACGTACATAAATTACCTAGAAAAACGGCCTTTTATCAAGCTTTAATACAGTGGATACAGTGGAATACAGACACAGGCCCACCCATACATATACATACCACGACGACTACCACCATACGAAATTATTTAAGACAGATCAGTCCTACTTTGACTATTGCTCCAATTGGACTTCGAAAACATACTGAACTCAAAATAATAAAATACAAAAATTCTATAATTTCCTTTTTTTAAATCATTTTTATATACTGAATTTATTGAAATTCAAACAAACAAACAGAAAAGAAAACAAACTCGATATTATAACGTAAAATGTAAAAACTAACAAAATCTAATACAAAACAGGATTCACAACAACAGATGAGATAATACAAAGTAGACACAAATTATAAATACGCAAAAGAAAATTTCACGAATTCCTTAAGAGACATAAACCAAAAGACAAAGTGTATATCGTAGAAATTAAAAAAAATTGAAATAAAAGTAAATTCATTTAATTTGGAAAACCATCATTTTTATTTTATTTCACCTCAAACATCCCCATCAGTCTTACTTAAACATTACAATTTATTCATCTGATTTGTCTGTTTCAAAACAAGCGAAAAAAAGCGCACACGCACACATAGAGAACGGAAACACTTGACAAATAAATTACATTTCAATCTTCGACAAAGTAATAGGTGCATATCGATTTTGACATTTTTTTGAGATTAAAAACGAATTGTGTTACACACAAGACAAAACCTATTATATAAAATTGTCATTGTAATCCGAATTGAAAAATTTGATTTATCACATAAAACTCAAGGCCAAACCAAATTATGTGGAGTGAGGAATATATTCTACATTCAGTATTTCCAAGTTTTTTACTATAAATGTGATTTATTTGATTTTTCAATCAAATGGAGAGATTTAACAACCAATTGTGAAAAATTTTATATTGTAAAAAAAGGATTTACACTGCGATTGAGCACAATCGTATGCTGACTTAATTATCCAATAATCGATTCGTCAATTGTATAGATGAACAACAAAAATCGGTGTAATATTCATTAATTTGTATTTGCAAGCATCGTAAACTCTTAAATTGTTCCAGCATATTGATGCACGTCAAACAAATAACAATAAGAAAACTTAATTAAATAAATAAATTATCCAAAAAAAAAGTTGGAAGATTCGATTAGTATCTAATTGATAACTGTCAATCCTTTGACATTCAAATAAACTTCAGAGAATAAATTACCAACCGCCTATCGGAAATAACGAAATACTTAAAGTTAATCCAATGCATTTACGTTTTAAACGTGAAAACCAAAGAAAACATCACCTTTTACATAAAAAATGTCTTTACCCCGTGAATACCGGAGTCAGGTTAGTAATACGGAATGCTATTTGTTGTTGTTGTTGTCGTCGTCGTTGTCGTAGTTTTTGTTGCATAATCAATCATTTCAATTTGTTGAAATAATCAGAGCACTTGAACGTCATTCGCATGAAACAATCCATTTTGCATGAATTTATGAACTTGAAATCTGTCTATTCACTGTACATATAGAATAAAATCGTTTTTATGTCGTCTTATGAAATTGCCGACGATTTTGTGCAAATTCAATGACGTCGCAGTCAAAGTGTTGACGATTGCATCCTATGACATGACCCGTTCCGAAAAGAATGCGTGACAAATTGTTGTGGGCAAATCAAATTCATTGAATGTTAAAAATGAAAAATTGATGTGCAATGTATTTCATTTACATCATAGGCAACACGGGGGACATTCGATGAAAAGTTCCAATCATCCGCATTCAGTATACACGATTCAAGCAAATCATCGATTAAGCAATGCGAGCAGATGCCATCAGTTCCACCCGATGTGGCTGTATTCAATGAATTCAATACAACCGGATCGTTGTGTTCCATTCATTCAGCGCCACAGGTGCAAATTGTCGATTCAATCAACGTCAATAGCGAAATTGTTGCGGGACAAGGGGACGGAAATGGTCAATGGCAACAAAATCTATCGACAAAATCCGTTTTTCTCGAGCTAATTGGTAACAAGCGCACCAGCGAAATTGACGAGGACGATAATGATAATTTGTTGACCGTATCAAGCGTTACTGCTAGACCATTGATAGCAAAGTCACGAGAACTGAGATGTGGCAAGTGAGTAAATGATTTATGATTTAATTTTATATAAATTGATGCATTTTTATTGTAAACCATTCGTGTGAAAGGTTTTCAAATCGATTGAATCGACGAAAAGAAATCAGCAGCGACAATGATACAACAACACCTTTGGACGGTGGTTATGGCTGGTGTGTCGTATTTGGCGCTTTTAGCGTACAATTTTGGGTGGCCGGCCTCGTCAAATCATATGGTGTATTATTTGTGGAAATTCTGGAAATTTTTCCAACAAATACAACAGCCGTTGCATCCTGGATACCTGCCATTTTATCAGCATTATGCTTAGCATTGGCACCTTTATCCAGTGCATTATGTCAGCGATTTTCTTGTCGTACAGTTGTATTTATTGGCGGACTTTTCTGCGCTTGCGGTCTTATGTTGAGCTATTTTGCGACAAGTCTTTATCACCTCCTTTTTACATTCGGCATTTTAACAGGTAAAAAAAAATCAACGGTTTAAACGGTCAAAGATATATAATGTTTTTTTTTATAATTTGTAAACATTCATAGGCATAGGAGGTGGACTTTCAACTACACCTGGAATCATAATTGTTTCATTGTACTTCAATAAACGGCGAGCGCTCGCCAATGGGATTTGTGTATCGGGAACAGCAGCCGGCAGTTTTGTATTTCCCATTCTGATCGAGTGTCTCATTCATAAATTTGGATTTCATGGAACGCTGCTGTTACTTGGTGCCGGTATGCTGCATGTTTGCGTTTCAGCATCATTATATCGACCGCTCGATACAAACTGTTCTGAATCGGTAAAGTCGACAAAATGCGAGAATAGCAGCAATTCAACGGCCACCAATTTAACACTTTTAACATCAACAAATGGTGATGCCAAACGATACATTGAACATTTGTTCATGATGGAAGAATCAAAGAATCGTCTCAACGATCTTTATAACACAAATAAACTTGGTAAATTCATCATACATTAATATACACATATATATGCTCATTTAATTTTTTTTTTTTTTTTTTTGATTTAATAATTGAATTTTAATAGAAAAAAAATACGAAAATCGAACATTTTCAGGAGCTCTTAACGACAATAATGGTAATACAAATGAAGGCGATGATGAATACACGGATACAATGGGAGAGTCCAAATTTACAAAGTTTCGACCCATTTCGGCCATTCGACCAACACGAAGTTCATCAATACTTCATTCCGTTGAGGACTTAAGTACCGACTCAACCTGTGTCTATAAGGCAAGAAGCGGTTATGATTCAAATCGCGGCAGTAGACGACGCATCACTACACAAAAGTTTGGCAATCGTCTTAGCAATGACGAAATACCTGACAAACAAACGCTCAACAGTTTATTCGATCAAAATACAATGTCAACCATTCAAGCGTCAAACAATCGTGGTCTCAGCAAAAGTATGATTCTACCGACACCAGTCAGTGATCTATCCGAATCGGATGACATTCGTGAACTGAAACGACCAAAAACATTATGCGAAAAAATTCAGAGGTTGGATTGAACACAATGTTACATAAACAAATTAGTACTGTTATTTACTCGTAATTTTGCTTATAATTTCATAGGTATATTGATGTAACTTTACTGAAAGACGCAACATTCATCGGAATGTGTTTATCCGTGAGTTATTTATAGAAATAAAAAAAAACAAATATATATTCAGAAGTTTAAAACCATCGCTGTTATTATATGTTTAGGTGACGCTAATGTCGGTTGGATGCCCATACATGTTATATTTCTTACCCGCGTATGCGATATCAGCAGGTAATTTTAAAATGCATTCACTATCGAATAAAAATTTGGGTACAATTAACGATTTTTATACAAATAAGACAACTTTGAAAATCGGCAATCTGTATAAAAATCGTACTCAAACTTTTCGGAAGTGTATTTTTAATTTATGCACCATATCAAATAACTTTTTTCTCTCTCTCTCTCTCTCTCTCTCTCTCTCTCTCTCTTTCTCTCTCTCTCTCTCTCTCTCTCTCTCTCTCTCTCTATATATATCTCTCGTTCTTTATATGTTTTAGGTTTTACAAAGAAAGAAGCTGGCTTGTTGGTTGCTATAAGTGCTGTTCTAGATTTGGTGGGTCGACTTGGTTTCGGTTATTTGTCGGATCTACAGATTTTCGATAGGAAAAAAGCGTTTATTGTATGGTAAATAGTAAATCTGAATTAAACGTTTTAATGGCATTCCAAGCTCAAAAATCAAATAAAAAGAATATTTACATTTATTTGAATGGCAGCATTTTGGGAGCTGGTCTCGCAGTTTTATCGATTCCATTCGAAAATCACTCATACTTGGTTGGATTTTCATCGGCAACATATGGCCTGTGTCTTGGATGCTGGTATTTACTAGTTCCTGTTTTATTGGCCGATCTATTTGGAACCGAACGCATTAGTTCGAGCTATGGACTCGTTCGGATGTTTCAGAGTGTCGGTGCAATATCTGTACCACCATTGGCAGGTTACTTAAAAGATCTAACCGGTGGATATGATACGTGCTTTTACTGTATGGGCGCATGCATGGTGTTGGGCGCAGTACCGTTAATAGTTTTAACCGTGCTCGAACCCAGCAGTGATACAACGCCCAATTCAGATGAAAGTGACGTTTCGACTGTATCCAATTAGCATAAAATAAAAAATGTTAGCCTCTAAATGTAATCCAAAAAGACATATTTTTCCATCAATTGTTTCTGATTTAAATATTAGTTATTTACACAAATTACAAACAAAATCTCATTTCGGGTTAGTTGTAAATGAAATTAGGATTTGATTAATTACAAACCAAAATTCGCATAGTATTCATCATGACTTTTTTTTTTGTCGTTTATATAATAATATACTGGATGTGTTCAATTTTATTGAATGAGAATAATGTAAAAAAAAAAAAATAATAAAAAAAAAATAATAAAATAAATTAAAATTTCAAAAAACTTGTGGTTCAACTAAAAAAATTTAGTCTAAAATTAGAGCCTATCCAAACTTTGGATTCCGAAGGCCAATGTGCATTTTTTTAACACACACAAATGTTTATAAATAGATCAAAAAAGAAACTATTTTAAATTGGTTTGTTCGCGAAACGTTTTGCAACCTGCAAACACTCGAATTCAGCACATCTCTTGTAAATGTAGAACTTTGATTGAAAATTGTATAGAGCTAGATTCACTTGGACATCACAAATTGGGTCAGTTTAAAAATATCTAGTGCACATACCAGCAATTCGATTCATTTTCGTAATTAGTAATAACTTATTACATCGAGAGAAAAAATGCAAATAATTCGAAATGTCCTCCAAAGTCAGTTTGTTTTTTTTTTCTGAAAATATGCGTCCGCTTGCCTAGACGGATTTGATGGAAGTTAAAATTTCAAAACCAATATTATAATATTTGAAATATTACCTACCTATTGGTACTTACCATATATCGATGTAGGTTGAGATGGAAAACGTTTAATAAAAATCAAATCGTAAAAATTTTATGTGAAGCAACACGTTAGGTCATAGTGTATTCAGTCCCAGCAGACCATAAATCATTCAATTTTTTTTTAGACATATTCATTATTCACCATAACACTGTGTAATAATTTAGTCATTTTTCTATGAATGAGCTAGAATGAAAACGGGACTTGAAAAAAGAATCGATAAAAGTGGTACACAGCGTTTTTTACAATCGCAATCAAAATAAATCATAAAGAGTTTTTTTTTTGTTTCGGTTCGAGTTCGGTTGTTCTCAATTTGAGTCGTACAATATAATTGGCAAAAAGCTCTCAATACTTACTAATTATGCGGGAACATTGAAGGTAGATGAGTGGATCTAGATAAAATACATTTGGCAGTTGATTAAAGATAGACTGCATTGATCAAAGCCACACTGCAATTATGTTCCATAAGAGACTGAATAAAATGCAAAACAATAGCACAGCTATAGCGCCACTACTGACAACTATGGAGTTCTAGTCAGTTGTTTGTAACTGAGCAAAAGTGTTTTCACTAGTTGGCGGCAACTTAGTATAGATTACATTGAATTCCGTCGTGGTGCTAGCTGTGTGACACTTTGAGCATAATTTCGGTACGATCAAAGCTGCAATAAAGGTAAAAAAAATATGCAAAACCAAAAAAATCTACCGTTTGATTAGTCAAGAACTGACTGAGGCATTTATTTATACATATACATATCATTATTGTTAATAATTTTTCTTTTTTAATTTTCTTGTTTGTTTTTAGTTTCACCTTTGTTCATTATTTATAACACATTTACATTTCATTCAGTTTTTTAGATGATTACATGCGATTAGTGCTTGAAATCATGTCTTTTTTTTTTCTTTTTTTTTCATTGGTTTCTTAATAAATAATTCATCAGTTTTTGGAACCATATAATACGTAAACAATTCACATACGATCACATTGTGACACTTGCAGTTATCCTCTAGGATAGTGATGACGATTTTCTATTGTTTTTGTTTTTGTTTGTCTTTAAATAGAAGATTTAATGGAATAAAATCAATGGATATGAAGAGGAATGTTATAAATGAAATGATAAACATGATATCCCGATGTGCTTTAATGTCGCAAACAATGTGTCGTATGCAATTTCTTTATCGTTCAGTTTGATTTTTCATTTTATGGTTCAGTTCATCGTAGCTCCATCGTTTTATATATATATATATAATTTAAATATAATACATTTATATATTTTAATAATATGTAATCAAAAAAGGGTATGCAAGCGCAAGAGTAACGCTTTCTGATATCAGTCTGCATCAGTAAAAGTGCCACTTTCATGCATGCACACAGTCAAATAAAAATAGTATATAATATATAATACTTTCTTTTTGCTCATTTTGTTTACTATTTCTCTTTATCTTTTGTTACTCTGCGTGAATTTTTTTTTCTTCTCTCATCTTTTTTGTTAATGGACAATGTCGTAGTGAATACATTTCTTAATTGAGATTTTGCGGTAAGTTCTTGTTATTGTTGTTGTTTTGGTTTTTTTTTTTTTTCATTTTCTTTAAATAAGTCGTTCGTTTGAATGCACTTATATTCGCGTTTCATATTTTCGTTCCTCTTAATTCATTGTTCATGTTTTGAGTGACATTTATTGTTATAGGTTTTGTAGATTTTCATGAAATATTCTTTGTGCGCGTCAATAACAATACGTCGAACAAATTCCAATCACCCATGTATATGTGTGAATAAATATGTTTTGAATTTGCCATTTAATCGCAACTTCTGTACAATATATTCGATATACGAATACTTAATGAAAAATAAAATAAATTTACATCGTTCCTAAAACAAACGAAAACGAAAAATAAAACTGACAAATGCACTCATTAACATTTTGTTTGTTTGTTTTGTTTTGCTTTTTTTTAATGTATCTATTAACCGAACATTGTCTGACGAATTGTTATTGCCGTTAAGAAACATTTTTTTTTGTCATGCGAACGCAAAAAATAAATTATTTCGTTTTTAGCTAATTAATATTTAAATTGACTTTTGAAAAACAAAAAGACGAAATTTTTGCATTTAATTGTTTTCCTCATCATGTTTAAATGTCTTTATGTATTACATTGAACATTGTTATAAAAATCGATTGATGTAAGAATTTACAAACATACATTTTTTTTGGAATTAGTTTCATTGTTTTGTTTTTAATTTATTGATGACATGGTAAGTCATTCTCATTGGTTTTGCATTGAAATAAAGCCTGCAATTGAAAATTCTTTGAATATTTTTTGCAACCTTTTTTTCATCTTCGCATTCTGTTATTTTACAATAATATATAGCACACAAGGCGCGCGTCATTTCGGTACGCGTTTATATTTTTAGTGGTTTCTTCATTATATAACAATATTTTGTATTATAATTGTTTTTTAAAAATCGTAATGAGGTTTTTATTTTGAAAATTATGTAGCATAATGATTATTTATTCGGCAAATAAGCTGTGTCTGGTTTTTGACGTTCGTATTTTGATATACATTGTCAGAATGGATTGTCATTTTAGCATTGTGTTTACGAGGACAAGGTAACTTTTGCAACCCTTTAACCCATTCAACGCGCTGAACTATTTTTGCCTGACATTTCATTTAATAAATTTGATCTTCTTCTGATCCAAACAAGGAGTACAGTCGATTCTCGAAAATTCGAAGGGATCGAATAATACGAAGATGTTTCGAATTATTGACAGTGATTTATATGGAAAAGTGGATTTTGGTTTTCAAAAATCGATTCGAATTAGGAAGAGTCGTCTATACTTCTTATTTAAGAATAAAAATCGTTTCCCTACCTACGGATTACATATTCAAAATGAAGGAATGTGGTTTTCTAAAAGTCGCGGCGAATAGGTTAAAATATTATTAACCTTGCCCCTTTTTTTTTTTTGATACCCAAACAAAATACACAATTTGAATGCTGAAACAATCATCATCTTTACAAACGAATTGAGACCAGAGTCGATCTGCCAAACAAATAAATTCAAAATAAAAACCGATTCATTTTCCGGTTTTCTCCACCGTTCTCCAATAAAAATTCATAGCCCAACAAATCGAAAATTCAATGAAATGTGTTTTGATTTGATTCGATTACAATTAAGTGTGGTAAACATAAATGCAATTTTCCCCATAAAGAATGCTTGATTCGTGTAGTAGAATGGGTGATTTATAAACGACTTACTCTTCGGTAATTTACACAAAATTTCACCGATTTTCGATTTGATTTCATTTCACAATAAATTTAGAGTTTTTAATATCTCTGCTAGAATTTATTATACATAATCATAGTTTGATTGGAATTCGGTTGAAAACGACATTTTTTTCTCTTCATTTCACCCTTCGTATGGAAAAACAACATTTGATCTTATATTCCAGTTTGTCTTATGGCAAAATGGTTCGTTGCTACATTTGATGGAAAAAGTCAGACGACTTTATTAGCGTTTCTTTTGATAGGTATCTGACGTTTATGGCATCAACTATCATTCGCTGCTTTCGATTGGAACTGTTAATTGCTTGCAATAAGCAAGTTTCTTTTTTTTCCGTTTATTTTGATCGTCTTTATGTCGATTGCTATATCAAGTGTAGTAGTTCAACTATGTTTTGGTCATTTAGTTTTGGCCCATGGCGGACACGATGGATTGAAATAATACAAGAAGTATTTATTTTCCTCAAATTCCTCATATTCAAAGCATAACAAAAAAGATCAATATTTTCATGAGATCATAATTAACAATAGCTTCAAATAAATTGAACTTGTTGATGGTTTGAAATTATCACAAAACACAAGAACATTCACAGATGATGTGCCTATTAAATCTAATTTGGAATGTGGAAGTTTACTTAAAAACGATGCAAATAAAATGTGTGTAATTTTGTGACTATCAATTGAAATGGTTAAACTTAACGTGTTTCATTTTTTTCTTTTGTGTTTTTTTTTTTGGAGGTTGAAATTAGGAAATTTCATTTGAATGTTTCATACATAGGCAATCATTTCCCTTTTGCTCGCTTTTTTTTTTTCATTTTATCATTTTTATTTTACATATCATTTCAGAATTCATCAAAAAATATACTTGGGAAATAAGTGGATTGACATTCATAAAACATGCTATTTAATAAGTCAAAATTTGTTTGTCTTTGTTTGTTTTTTTTTCTTTCATTTTCTTCCAAAAATACTTCTTTTGAAAATTAACCTCTAAACAAGAAAAATATATGTATATATATTTATGAATTGGAATGAAACAACTGCTTTCGGAAGATTACCCTTGCCTTTGTAAAAATGTTCGGTTTTTTTTAGTGTTTCATGTTAATTTCATTGTATTTCTTAACATCGTTTGTGAGATGTTCTGTTGCTAT